TTAACCAAAGAATTTAGATGAATATATGCATAACCCCTGGACACAGACAATAGTATGGTGAAGGCCTGGGAGGAGGGGTGGTTGTGGGGCAGAAGGGGTCAAAGGAGATATCTATAATACTTAAAACAGTAAATATAAATTAAAAAAAAAAACAGAAATGAAAGAGTAATGAAAAAATTTCCATAAAGAACAGGAGCTAGAACAGGGCTCACATATTGGAGCGGAGTAGTGTCCAGACATAAAGCAGGCATATTTGGGGAATTTACTGTTTAGTGATGGTAGCATTTCAAACAGTAGGAAAAATGGATTCTTAAATAAATGAGAGCAGGATAAAATAGCCATTGGGGATGGGGGGAAGAGTGACTTTATCATTCCAGTGCCAAATAAAGTCCACATGTATCAAAATGTAAAATGCTAATGAAATTGGACTTATAAAAAGGTGTGTACGCTAGTAAAGTCAGAATGATTCATAGGAACCACATTGGGATTAGTTCGTACTTCAAATAGATACATAGTTTTCCTGCATTTACAAGGAACACGTTTTCATTTACTTAGAGAACAACTGAGGGCATCAGATTTAAAGACTGGATAAGTTGATAAAATGTATGTCTTATGTTTACTGCCTTATTTTTTCTATTTAGATGAGTTATGTGTTGAAGCACTCTGTCGGATGGAACAAGCGAATTGCTCCTTTCCGGTTTTTGAGAAACATCCAGGGATCTATTTGTTTTTGGTCCATCCCAATGAAATGGTGAGTATGAGTATTAGGTCACTGAAGGACATATGTTATTTTTTGCACATGTAGATAGCTGTATTAGAGGTTTCAGTTGCATTCAGCTCAGAAGACAGAGACGGGAACACTTTGAGCTCTTCCCAGTGTGCTGACCTGAACCAGTGGACTGTTCTCACTTTTGTCGTCTGCCTACCCACTTCAACACAGGGAAATTTTTTCACATTGTTAACAATGTGTGAAAAAATTGTTTTGCTAATGGATGAGATTTTTAAAGTGCTTGTGGGGTAAAGGGGGAAGGGAAGGAATTCCTGGGCACTGGAAATGAAAAGGAATATGAGAGAACAGCACTGAGGCAAGAACAGCAACAGGGAGCAACACAAGAGTATGGAACCCTCCTGTCGAACTTACTGCATAGGTTTTCTTTTTGAGGTTCCTCTGTTCATTTTTTCTTCCCTTTTAAAAGTGTCCTCTATCATGGAAAATTATAAACATACAAAAGTAGAAGTTTTTAGTGAAGCCCTTTACATTCATGAATGAGCATCAATTATATGTGGTCAATAGTATACTCCACTTTGGGATTCGTTAGAGCAAACCTTAAGACAGCAGAGCATTTAATCCATAAAACACTTCAGAAATTCTCTAAAAGGTGAGGACTATTTATTTTTGCACTCTCAATATGGTTCATCTTACATCCTTAGTCATAGGGGTTCTGTTCAGCTAGCTAGTCTCCAGGTGGTTTTCAAGGGTGGCAGTTCTATAATTTAGTTTAGATGTGATTGTGGGAGGAGGCAAGCAGCACATCATTTACCTACTTTGACATCTTGACCAGAAGTCCATAAGGACTTTGGGGAAAAACAGCATAATACTCACACCTAACATAATTTTTAAATGTCATTTCCAGCATTTAAATGAATGGAAATGATGATCTCATAAATGCTTTATTAGGGTGAGTTTATTCAAATCAGGATCAGATAAGATTTGCTCGTTGCATTGATTAGTATCTCGTCTTTTAAAACTATTTTTTGTTTTTGTTATTTTGTTTTTTAAAATTGATTTTATAGAAAGGAATGGAGAGAGGAAAACAAGTTTCATTGGTTGATTCTTATATGTGTCCTGAGCAGGGATTGAACCGAAATCTCATGTTTCAAGACAACACTCTAACCAGTCTTGTGTCTTTTAAAATCTATAGGGAATCCTATTTAACCAGGTTTTTGCTGTGTGCAGACAATTGTTTGTTGAATGAAGTAACGAATGTGTTATGCTTTTAGGTTCGGCGTTGGGCTATACTGACTGCAAAAAGCTTGGGAAAAGTGGAAAGAGATGATTATTATGATTTACAGGAGGTTTTGACTTGCCTTTTTAAAGTCATTGAGTTGGGGCTTTTAGAAAATCCAGACATTTATACTTCTTCTGTCATTGAGAAGGGTAAACTGATCATCCTACCCTCACATATGTATGACACTTCCAACTACAAAAACTATTGGTTAGGTAAGTATTGTCACTACTCAAATATTAGTATTTTTTCTGTAGTTCTTACGGATATACTGCAAAGGAAGTGATCTCTTGGTAATCTTATCAAAATTGCTAAATACAGGATTTCATAGTTTTCAATTCTTTTGTCATTACATTGGTGTAACCATTACACATCTTGTTTTTAAACAAACCATCTGTGTAAGAGGTACATTTTCAAGTATAGCAAATAAGTCTGTTACTTGAAGTAATACTAGGTATAAATAAATATTGATAGAGCAGACTTGAATAGGGTTTGATCTATTTTAAAAGGAGGCTATATGCGTCTTGTCCCATCTGTAAAATATTTTTCCCATAGAAAGAGATAATAGCTTTGGTTTTCAACAAGTTCTGCATTGACTCAGAATAATTCCACCCTACTTCATTGATTTGAAGTTTTACAGTCATGGGTAGTATTTGGCAGTAGTTGTTACTTGAAATATGCTGATCTTAAAATTGAGTCCATCTTAGATTTGATGAAATTCAGTTTGTGCCATAGTCATCTTAGAAGTTGTTTTCTAACCAAGTTCATACCATGTCCCCTTTTTATTCTTAAGTCAGTCTGAAGTCCTGTTACTTAGAAGGGGTTGTATTAGAAAATGTCAGAATTAAATATTTGAGGAACAGGATTCTGTTTTGCCTTCATCTTTCTGCCTTGTTAATAACTTTTTGTCATCATTAACCCTCACTCAGGGATAGTTTTTCCATTGGTTTTTAGAGAGAGTGGGAGGAAGGGAAGGAGAGAGAGAGAGAAAAACATCGATGTGAGAGAGACACACTGGTTTCCCCAACTGGAGCTGGGGATGGAACCTGCAACCCTGATACATGCTCTTGACTGGGAATCAAACCTGTTCAGTGTGTGAGCCAGTGCTCTAACCACTGAGAAACACCAGCCAGGGCCTGCCTTGTTATTCTTTTACCAACTAATCCAGAGGAAGCATTAGAGTCTTGTTACTTAATCAATCCAAGGAAACCATAAATGATTTTACAGGTATCTGCATGCTTCTGACCGTTGTTGAAGAGCAAGCCATGGAGTCACTGTTGTTGGGCTCAGACAGACAGAATGATTTCATGCAGTCAATACTTCACACCATGGAGAGACAGTCAGAGGGTAATGGCACTGTATTTACTAAATGCTTTTCAATGCTGTAATGATGATGTACTTTTAAAATACTGGTTTCACTGCAAGAATGGGTGTATGTGTGGAGAAAAGAAAACTTTTATGGTTTAGGTCACATTCAGAATTCTATATCAGAGGGACTGTTAGAGTTTAATTCAGTAACTTACTTTCATCGTAGAAGAGATGGAGCTTCCCAGAGTGAACTTAATTTTTCATGTTGAAACACCCATTTAGTGGCAGAATTAAGACTAGAATCTGTAGGAGATAAATTTCTAATAACAACATAGTTTAAATTGTGGAGAAAGTCTCTCTTTTCCCACTGTTTTTCATTTCATTTTGGTGTACTTTGTTGTTTCACTGACCAGCCTGGTAACTGCTAGCCAACTGTGGCTCTTTAAATTTTGATGTTACAAGTCTACCAGTTATATTTCAGGTGCTCAGTAGCCAAATATGCCTGGTGCCTACTGTATCGAACAGTACTGATGTAAAACATTTCCATAATCATAGAAAGCTCTCTGGGACAGTGCTGCTTAGAGAGTCTAGAAAACAAGATCTAAAACTTGTAGTCATGTTTGTTATTAGATCCAATTTTTCATTTGCTCATGGTTGTATGAAATTGATTGGGGAGGATTTGTGTTTAAATAAGTGTTTCTAGTCTCGTATTCTTTATGAATGAATGAAACAATAAAGATCATGCTGGATCCTATTAAAACATAATGAATATAATTTTCCCACTTTAACCTCTCCTTAGGCAATTTCAATGTGGATATAAACTCGTTTGTGGGAGATTCTGAGATAATGTGAATTTTTTTTTTTTTAGTCACATTTTTTTGTTAGATTATTCCTGATTGAGGCTATTACTAATTTGTTTACCAGTGTTTATTATGTCAATTGTTCATTTCTTTCTGTATGCCTTGCACATAGAATTTTGTTCTCTCTAATCTAACTCCCCTAACCTTCAGAAAGTCACTCCTCTTTGAAACCTTTATTGTTTTCAGCTAAGTGATATTCTTTCTTAATTTGACAGCTTATGACGCATAAGACTTCAGTGTATCAGCTGCAGTAGAGAATAAGAAAGTACAGACAAGCTCTGCATGACTATCCGATAAAAAAGTGGAGACTAAGAGCCCTGAGGGCAGTGCAATTCTAGGGTGACTTCATAACATGCCAGTCACAGAGAGTTAGAGCATCTGCTGGGGAATGTGTGACTTGGGAAGAAGCTTCAGAGCTGGATTTGGCTGCACGGTTTTAAGAGGTGGTGGATAGTGAAGGCATTCTGGTTTTTGTTTGGGGAAAAGGCAGCTGTCTGTGCTACAGATATGCTAGTGATTAAGGGAGTGTGACAAAACCCAGAGAAACAGTTGAGGAAGACCTTGTAAGTGCTTGATTGAGGACTTTGAATTTTCTTAGAAGACATTAAGGAACATTAGGAGTTCTTTGAGTGGGGCAGTATCTTGCAACTGCACGTCTGATGGAGAAGAGGGAAAGAAAGGATTGCGGGCTAGATCTTGTCAGTCATGGCAATTCCTACCATTGGGGGAAAGTGAATTCTGACAAAGCCACACTAAAGTATAGGTAGATGAAGGCTGGTCACCTCCACTTGCCCATTAGCTTCCCTAAACCATGGGGTTTGTTTAAATCTACAAATACCAAGGTTTCCCCCCCTTTCCTTTTTCTACTTCTGTGATTTATTGAAGGAAGGGAGTTGTGGGAGAAATTGAGTTATAAGTAGGAAAGACCTTTTCAGGTGTGGCAAACAGTGGAAAGTTGTGTTTACCTGGACTACCTCAATTAGTTTCTTACTTAAAAATTTCTTATATAGGCATAGAATATTGCTTGAAAAAATGCAAAAGCAATTTAAAACTTTGCCAGCTTTTTAAAACCTGTGATTGGCAGTGCTTTACTTTCAGTTACTTGCTGCTTTGTTTTATTGCTACCCAGATAAAGAATGCTCAATTCTCAATATATTTTAGTGTCTTTTTTGATTGTTTTGTAATTTGGCAATAACTCCATTGTATTTCAGATGATAGTGAAGATCCTTTCTGGCCAGCACTGCACTGTTTCATGGTCATTCTGGATTGCCTGGGATCTAAGGTCTGGGGCCAACTTATTGATCCTATTGAGGCCTTTCAGACCATTATCAACAATGTGAGCTATAATAGAGAGATCCAGAATATACGGAACAGCTCTGTGAGGTTAGTTTGTAATGTGCCAGGATCTCAGTTATCTGTAAGGAACTCTGTTGTATCTTAACAATGGGGAAATTTTCTTCTTCATTTCTGTAATTTCTATTTATTGTAATATTTAAGGGCCAGGCCAGAACTGGAGTCTTGTCTGCATAATATGGGGACTTGCAGCCAGATTGTGTACAGTTATAACCCTGAAAAGAACAAAAAGGTATGAAACAGTTTGAGCATTTAGGTGACACTGTATTGCTTTTATATTGTAAGAACATGTTTTACATAGTAAGTTGAATTGCATATTTTATGATATGTTGCTATTCTGTATTGACTGCTACATAAAGGCTTTATGGTTGAACCAGATGTATTGTGCACATGGGACTAATGGAAAACTAAATTTTAAGTGCAGGTAGGAAGGGTGGAAGTTTATGGGATGGGGAAGTAAGTGACATGACTAGAAATCAAAATCAGCTAATGGAAACAAGGCAGAGTACATGGAGGTGTTGTAAGTTTATCATTACTTAAAACTTGCCCATCAAAATTGAACTATATTTTCAGTTTATTGGGAGTATGTGTAAACCAAAATAGGAAAGTTGAGTCATATATTTTCTTTACAACTTGTGTGCTAAGCCTATCATGAATGATGCTTGCTTGTCTGAATGTCAGTATTTCTTTCATTTTAGGATTCAGGGTGGAGATCCGCCATTTGCCCAGATTATTGTCCTAACATGTATGAAGAAATGGAAACACTAGCCAGTGTTCTTCAGTCAGATATTGGTCAAGACATGCGTGTTCACAACAGCACATTTCTGTGGTTTATCCCTTTTGTTCAGTCCCTCATGGATCTTAAGGATTTGGGTGTGGCTTATATAGTAGAGGTCATTCACCATCTGTACTCCCAAGTCAAAGATGTTCTTAGCCAAACAGCTGTGGTGTGTGACAAAGTCACTGAGTTTTTTTTCCTCATTTTGGTGTCAGTTGTTGAACTGCATAGAAGTAAAAAATGTTTGCATTTGTTGTGGGTTAGCTCCCAGCAGTGGGTAGAAGCCATTGTGAAATGTGCCAAGCTTCCTACCACTGCATTTGCACGGAGTTCTGAGATGTCATCTGGCAGTGGCTGCAGAGGAGCACCAATGGTAACGTCTCTGTCACTGCATTCAATGCCATCTAACTCTGTACAACTTGCTTGTGTGCAGCTGATTAGAAGTCTCCTTAAAGAAGGTTATCAGGTTGGGCAGCAGACTCTTTGTAAGCAGTTCTGGGATAAGCTCAATTTATTCCTGCGAGGAAATTTATCTCTAGGTTGGCAGTTGACTAGTCAGGAAACCCACGAGTTGCAAATTTGTTTAAAGCAAATTATTAGAAACATAAGAGTCAAAGTGCCTCAATGTACTGCATTGGCGGAGCCAGCCCCTCCATGTAAAATCCCTCCTTCCTCTTACAGTAAAGAGGTCAGTGCACACAAAGGGAAGGCATGTGAAAAAGATGTGCACTGTCTGGAAAGATGCAGCCCAACATTTTCTAAAGAGCCAGTGAAAGCTAATGTGTATCAAGTGCAAGAGAGCAATATGTTAAGGAAAGCAAGTAATACTGTAGAAGAAGGTAATGAGCAAAATTATATAAAAGATTTGAAACTAGATGACCATCTCTCAGCTGGGTCATACCTAATGCATAGTCGTAACAACCTTACCACTGAAAGAGCCCAAGATCGAGTTAAAATACACACAAGGAAGCAGAAGTCTGTAAAAGATAATTCCTCATGTATACCACAGAAATGTACTTCAAGAAATGATGCAGAAAGTGGATCTGACAGAGGAGTAATTATGTCAACACATTTGTTGACTGATTGTAACACTGATTCTCTGGACACAGTGTCCACATCAAAAGAGGACTTCTCTCTAAAGTATGATGTTCTTGGCAAGACCGCAAAAGCAAATACTAAGGCACAGAAAAGTGAAATCTGCGCCGAGTTATCCTGTGTGATAAAGAAGCAACAAAGGAAAAGTACCTTGGTCAATAATACTATGGACTTAGAAGGAGACCTGACTGTCTCCAACACTGAAAATTTCTGTTTAAGGACAGAAACCACAGGTCAGAAAAGGGATAGCTTCATATACATCCCCTCTTTAGATGCTGATGATAGTCTGGATAATAAAAGTGGAGGACAAAAATCTCGTAACAATTCATTGCTGAAAAAGAAACAATTGAAGAACAAAGAGTTAACTGTTCTTTCTTCCAGTAGCAGTGATTGTCAAATACAGGAATGTCAGGTTGATAAAGATTTGGTATCATATACAGATATTATCAATACTTTCATGCATAGAACAACTCCTTTTAAAGATCCTGTGACTTTACTTGGTTCAAGAGATAAGGGAATTAGCAAGAGCACAGATCAGGTTTTTTCTGACCTTAGAGAACAGGACCCTAGCATCAGTCTTCAGTGTGACACCTTAACAGATTCTCAGGTAGATAGAGACCTCCACAAATTATCTTTAATAGTTCAAGCCAATGTCATTAAGTTTCCTTCAGATTCATCTCATAAAAGCTCATCCCAGCTACAGAGAAAATTAAAAGATAAAAGAAGTTTCAGAGCCAACCAAAATGTCAGGGAAACCTGCCATGGACAGATTATTTCAGATTCAGATGATGATGGTGATGAACAGATTTTGGATTTTGAGAACCACATGAAACAAAATAAAATGTGCATTGAGAAAGAATTTCCAGGGCACTGTACTTCAGTAACTAATAAGAATGTGGACAAGAAGCTAACAAAGAAAGAAAAGACAGATTCCCGCATGCAGTTTGAGGACTCTGATTCTCAGGTTTTTGTGTTTGAAAGCCAACCGAAAGCTTTTTCAGTTTGGCAAAATCAGAAACCAGACAACAGGAATTCAGTTCAAGGGGATGAAGAAAATTCCTGTTTGACTGATATAGTTGATACCACAAATGATTGGGGTTATGATACAGACTATCTTATGTTGGAAGAAGTTACCAGTGAAGGATCAGAGGGTACTGAGTTTTCAGAAAGTAGTACTGTTGAGGAATTGTGTGAAATTCAAGTAAAACCCAATAGAAAACAAGTTAATAAACTGATGGCTGAAGAATCTTCAATGTCTTCATCTTCTATTAGAAATGAGGACCAATTTGATACTCTTAATGAGAGATACCTAACTGAAAATGATTTAAAAATTATAGACATAAGGACATCTCCTGATTCAAGTGTTGAGAGAGCCCCTTCAGTTTCCCTGAAGAAGTCGTCTCCAAAGCGTACTTATTCCAAACCTATTAGGAGTGTCTCAGTATCTGAATTGCCTAAGAAAACACATTCAGATACTAAAAAAGGGCAGAATAAAAGTTCAAATTATATAAGTTGTAGGACAGCTCCTGCTATAGTGCCACCAAAAAAATTTCACCAGTGTCCTGAACCAGCTTCAATGGCTGAGAAACTTGGCCTGAAAAAGGCTCCTCGTAGGGCATTTGAGTTGTCTCAGCAATCTTTAGATATTATAGGCCAGTTACGTGACCATGGAAGAACTGTTGGAGTAATTGATAGCCAAATAAAGACTAAACCAATTTCTCCTCAGACTCTTCCTGTGAAAGATAAACTGCTTCTAAGTCAAGATCTTCAGTTTCAAAGGCAGATGAAACCCAAATCTTGGCAGAACAGACAGGGACTTGATGAAAGTGTGGACACTACAAGAGCAGAACCACGTGCAGCCTGGAATTCTGACATAGTTACAGCAGAGTTAGATACGTCAGATGACAGTGACAATGAAGGAGCTGAGGTAAAGGCTCACAGCAGTAGAAATCAGTCAGCAAAGTGTGTGCCTCCTGAAAGAGAACTTGAGATAGCAAAATACGCTTCTCCGTTGGCTGGCAATAGTGGTCTTCTGAACCTGAGTAATTCCCCAGTGTTAATGGTCTCTACTTCAGAGGACCTTCTCAGTGGAGGCAGCCTGACTGAACAACATTTAGAGGTGGCAGCTTTGAAAAAGGGACAGCCTGACTCCGACAGTGATATGGAGGGAGATGATATATTTTTAACACAACATGATCCAGAAGATAGGGGCTTAGTTTCAGAAAAACATAAAGATAATGATAGACTCATTGAAGTAGTCCATTGGAAAGACAGAGTTCAGGCAGAGGAAGATTCTGTATATCGGCCTCAATTGGAATCTTTGAGGAGTGCAAGGTGCAAGTACAAAGATTGTATTGAGGCTGTGAAAAATGATGGCCACTACTGCTCAAAACACTCTGAAGCTAAAGCAGCTGATGAAGATGTCTTCCGTAAACCTGCCTTGCCTCTTTCTGCATCTAAACATTTGAGACCTTCTACTACGAAGATTTTTAGCTCGAGCAGTACTTCACGAATTGCTCATCTTTTTAAGTCTTTGGAAAGTGCCTCAGCACTTCCAAGCCTAAAAAATAAGTCTGTTTCGAAAGTACCACAGCCAGCCTCTTTGGTGTCTCCAAAACCAATGGGAGAAGTGGAGAGTTTGTATAGTGTTCTTCATTCTCCAACTCCGGGTAACTCCAGCAGGCAAGGGTTGAGACTCCCATTTGCTGAAAGTAAAGCTTTTTCATCTTCTCCCGTCAACATTATTTTGTCATCACAGTTCATCTTTGAAACCTTCGTCAAAGAGGTCTTGAAATGGAAGTATGAGATGTTTGTGAAGTTTGACCAGTGTGGGCCCCCACCAAGTCTTTATCAGAACATCTCAAGACCCATGCCTGTCAGATTTCAAGACTGTGGAGAGTACTTCAATGTATTTTTCCCTTTGGTGATGCTGAGGACTTTTGAAACAGTAAGTATGGATTTTAATTATACCATAATTCAGGTTTTGAAGTTGCTTCTTTTCTTGACCCTGCTGAGTGATGGATGGCAGTTAAGACAACTGGGCTTGTGGTACTGCAGCTTCTAGACTTCACGTGGAGCTGACATCTGCCATATGCTGCTCAAGATGCTGGTGGACGTTTCCTTCACCTCTGCCCTTGAGCTATAGGCACAATTCAGTGCTGATGCACCATGTCCCCAGCTAGCCCAGTAGGACACTTGTGTCAGTGCGAAGGGAAGGCTGCTCAGAGGAGATAGTCTCCCATCTGCTTTTTTTTGTTGTTTTTTTGAAAAGTAATGTAGGCCTTCACTCAAGTTTCCTTGAAGAGATAGCTAAGGATAAATTACATGGAGAAACAAAAAACAGTAAATCCTAAATTTCTATTGTCTGTCTTCCCAGTTTCTTACTCACCATAGCAGCTGCTCTCCCGTCAGCTAACTCCCTTCTAATCCCCCAGCACAGCCTGTTCTGATTCTTCTCAGCCTCACTCGGCCTGATGACTGCCAAATGAAATACCCCATTCCCAGTTAGGTTTGAATCTCAGGAAAGCAGCTGATAATTCTCTAGTGTTAGCACCCAGCAGTGTTGTAAGTCCTGGGTGTGTGTTTTTTGTTGTTTTGACATTTATTCTGCTTGGTGTTCTGTGAGCTTCCTGGATCTGTGATTCGTTGTCTGACATTAATTTGGGGGAACTCTTAGTCCTTAGAGCTTTAAATGTTGCTCTGTTCTTTCCCCTTACCTCTGGTGTCCCATTAAATGTCCATTGCACCTTTTGCATTTGTCTGACAGTTTTTGGATATCCTGTTCTTTTTTTCCTAGTTTTTCCTCTTTGCTTTTCGGCTTTGGTAGTTTCTGTGGCTGTAGTTTCAAGGTCAGAGAGTCTTTCCTTATCCAAGCTAATGAGCCCATCAAAGGCCTTGTTCATTTTTGTTCCACTGCTTTTGATCACTAGCATTTCTTTTTGATTCCTTGTTATCATATATATATCTGCTTACATTACTCACCTATTCTTACATGGTCTTCTTTTTCCAGTACCTCAGCATATTAACTACAGTTCTTTAAATCCCTGGTTTGATAGTTCCAACACCCTGCCTCATCTGATTCTGGTTCAGATACTTGTTCTCCAAATTGTCTGTGTGTTTAATCTTCACCAAAGGAGAGAGTACAAAGGACAGAGAGATACGTCAATGCAAGAGAGGCACGGTTTGGTTGCCTCCCCCAGGACTCCCAGAGCTGGGTATTGAGCCTGCAACCAAGGTACATGCCCTTGGCTGGAATTGAACCCAGGACCCTTCAGTCCATGGGTTCACTGACACTAATCACTGAGCAAGATTAGCTAGGGCTGTGTGTGTGTGTATGTTTTAAATATTTTAATTGATTTTTTTCGGAGAGGAAGGGAGAAGCATCTATGTGTGAATGTAACATTGGTCATCTGCTTCCTGCATGCTCCCTGCCAGGGATTGAGCCCAACACCCAGGCATGTGCCCTGACCAGAATCAAACTGACTATACCCAACCAACTGAGCCACACTGGCCAGCATCAGTTGTGTTTTTTGTCTTTGAGGATGTCTTGTAATTTTTGTGGAAAGGCAAACATGGTATACTGGGTGAAAGAAACAGCAGTAAATAGGCCTTCAGTAATGTGGGGTGTTGTCGGGGAGGTGGAAATGTCCTGCAGTCCTGTGATACCCTGTACCTCTGGACTGTGAGCTTTACTCAATGTTTGTCAGTCCCTCACTTCCTTAGGTGGGACACAAAGGCTAGAATGGGCTGGACTTGGACTTGCTTACTTTTCTTCCGCTAAGTATATGAGGTTTTGATAAAACCCCAGCAGGTTAGGCTCTGGTAAAATATTTCCCCACAGAGCAGGCCTTGTTAAGAAGTCTTTTGTGCTCTGGTATATTTCAAAATCACTCCTCTTCCCCTCCCCCTGCTGGAAGCAAAGGAATTTTTCTCCAGTATTCACTGTGGAGGACCTGGTAAAGCTCTCAGAGGTAAAAGTCATAAGTGTGGGCCCCCTAGAGTTTTTAACATTAGAGTTGTTCATACTGAACCTCCAGTAGTTTATCAAAGTTCAGGTTTTCCTACCTGACACCGGTTTCTACTTAACCTCTATGTTGTGGTTTTCTGTATCCACCTCCCTGTCTCTCCAGTTTTTGGGGCAGCAGCCTCACTTCTTTGTGGAATGTAGAAAGAGTTGTTGATTTTTCACCTTGTTCAGCTTTTTACTTGTTAGATTGAAGTGGTGAATTCTAAGATCCTTACATGCTGAACAGGAAACTGGAAATCCTCAATTAACTTTGTCTTTCTGTCAACTGGGATTCTAAGCTCTGGAGGGTTCTACATTTTACTATGGCTTCCTTTGGGAAATTTTGCTGCTTAGCATTGGCTTTCCAGAAAGTTTTTGCTTGCTTAATTTGCTTTTTTGCTTTGTATAGGTAGCACAGGAATGGATCAACTCTCCAAATAAAGGAAAATTCTATGCATTGCAGTTACGAAAATTCCCTGCAGAATATAAAAAATACTGGGAGTTTGTGGGTAAGTTATTTCTTATGTAACTTGGCACTTATATAATAATTGGACATTTCTATTTGAGGAAATATTGAGTTTTCTGGGACATAGGTTCTTAAACTGATTTTATAACCTCTTACAAAGGATATGCTTAAAGTCTTAATGAGCATAATTACTGGGACAGTTGTGCATCTAAAATTTATGGTTTTAATCATTCCATAAATAAATACCACAGGCCAAAGTGTCCAAGGGAAGCTGTGCATGGGAGAGAGGGTAAGCGAAGGGTGTGTTATGGGATGAGGGGTGGGTTATAGTAAGTGTAGATTCCTCGTAAATTATCTTGCTGTATTTTCATTTTATAATCAGTGTGAAACACATAGTCACATTTATGTATTAGTTATAAATAAGTCACATATTCAGAACTCTTGAAAATAAGGGTACATCCTACCCACTCCATCAAATAATCCATCCTCTTCTGCAGATTCACTTAAGAAAAAAATGAATGTGTCTGTTTTGGGACGGGTACTATATGTTTATTATAGAACATTCAGATAATGTTAGCCAACAATAAAATAGACATCACCCACTACTTTTATCATTCATAGGAAATTCTTTGAACACACCAGTGTATG